ACCATATAATTTAAGTGTATCGCAAAGCAAGTTAATTTTGGCTACGTTTTTATTATCTCTAGTGATTACATAATTAAAAACCAATCTAATGTGAATTTCAATTCCCATGACGATTCTCAAATCATACAAAACCCAAACAAACTTGTAAATATGGCTAAGGAAGGTGTTCACGATGTGTCTTATGATAGCTCAGATAGTGAAGTACCTATCCTTGAACTCCATGGAGCACAATCGAGTTAGAACTATTAGACTTAAAGACAGTGCCAGGAAGGTCAATCGTCACTCCAGAAGATGAAACATTGGGACCAATTCAAAAGACAAAAGAAATAATAGATGTAAACCTTAGGAGTGGGAAGTCTTGCCTATGAGAGTGCTTAAAAAAGACAAAGGGAATTAGATTTTTATTCAACAAGAGTCAACTCCACTGATGAAAGAAATTCCAACACTGGAGGATCCCTAAATAATAAGTGACAAAGTGGAATATAACGTACTAGCCCATCTTCGGAAGTTGCAGGCCAAACTAAGCATCTACGATGCTCTGATCCTATAAAAAAAGATGTGAGAAGCTCTGATCAGGGCCTCACTTGATCCAGAGATTTTATTAGCTCAATTGGCTAGTAGCCTTTAGACAAGGTTTGTTCTTTGAAGGAACAATTAGGTGTCACTTTGACAGAAGATTAAGGGGTTAAATTAAGAGTAGAGAGGGTGGTGGTTGTATGCAGGAGTGGTTGATCCTTCAAAATTGAGAGGGATGAGTTGGACTATGGTAGCAAACTTATACTATCAAGCAACATAATTACAGTGCTCGCTTGGGTTAGGCAGTGTAAGTGCGCCACCTCGTAGTGTGGGTGTGCCCAAGGATGCCTAAGTACTACCTTGTGTGATGTTAGGAAGATGATAATGGAATGGAGATGATGCGACATCATGAGGCACGGGTGAGCCACCATGAGGGAAGGATGCACCACCATACGGAGTGAGTGCACTAGTGTGTTAGGGTGGAGCGAGCGCATCAGCATGAAGTGGGGGCACGACCGATTTGGTGGTGTGGTTAAGGCCAAAATGAAAACCCTAAATCAAGAGGAAGAGAAAATTTTAAGGAATCTAATGGTGCAATTATTTTTTGGTTAAGATGGTCCCCATTTAATAGAAATTCATGCCCCACCATAGGAGAGAGAAAAAAAATTTTTTTGTGAAATTTAATGGGTTATGATTGACTAAATTAAGTTCTTTTTAGCTCATATTTACTTTGTTTGAATTTTGGTTAGGTTTGCTTCTGCCATATTTTTGTAAATGTTAATTTTATTTAGGTGGATTTTAATTTTACGTTAAGTTAGGGTTATCTCAAATTTTAGCTAATGTGATGCTTAAATAATAGCTTAAGAGAGCTCAATAGAGTCATCTAGTGGGACGGAAAAAGATGTCCTATGTCCCAATGTGATTGGATATAAGCTAAGAAAAATGTTTATCAAAAAATGAAATTAGAAAGACTAGGAAAGGTTTAACCTACCACTAAGAACCTTCTATTAGAAAACATATTTTTGAATTATCTTATAGGGTTATAAAAGATGTTTTTATTCGGTTAGATAAATTTATCTTCTCTCTAGATTTCAGCTTTTTTAAATAATAAAGAAGATAAAAACCCTCTATCAATGTAGATTGACCATTCTTTGCCACTGAAATGGTAGTGATAGAAGTTCGGAAAGGGGACTTATCATGTGAGTAAATAAAAAAGAAGTTAGTTTTAATATTCTGAAATTAATAAATTTTCCCGAAGACCCTAAGGATGATAAATGCTATAGGTTAGATTTGGTGTATGGGTATGTTAGATGACATTTTAGAAATGGACCCAATATAACAAAGTATAATTAAAGATAGTTATGAAAGACCTTAAGATGAATCAGCTCTATTATTTGATATAATCCCTAGAGTGATTAAGGATAGGTTTAAACCTCAAATAATCCTATAACTTTTTTACTTAATGTTGTGAAGGCATCTGATTTAGGACTTAAGGTTCTCCTCAAACATTTAAAATATGCTCTTTAATAGAATTTTCAACTTCCCCCAAAATTATTACTCGAATTTGAGTGAATTACAAGAGGCATAGTTATTGAAAGTTTTGAGAAATTTTAGGAAAGCCTTTGGTTGGAGCAAAGAAGATATTAAGGAAATAATTCCTTATGCATGCACAAAATTTTAATGGATTTAAATCGTGAACCAAAAGTTGATCACCAAAAAAGGCTAAACTCTTTTTTGAAATAAGCAATGAAAAAAAAATTATTAAATTACTAGATGTATAATTTATTTATCACGTTTTAATTTGTGCAAGAGTAAGTCCAATTCATTATGTCCTTGAGAAATGAGTGGTCATAGTACTTAAGAATGATATTAATGAGCTTATACCAACTAGAAGTGTTGTTGGCTAGAGAATTTGCATAGACTATATGAAATTAAACAATGATATATGGAATGACCATTTTCCTCTACTTTTTCTTATTTAGATTTTAGTTAAATTGACAAAATTCTTGCTTTTGCTTCCTAGATGGTTATTTAGGATATAATCAAATTTATATAACACCAGAAGACCGGGATAAAACTACTTTCATTACTCCTTATAGAATGTTGGCTTTCAAGAGAATGTCCTTTAGTTTATGTAATGCTCCCACTACTTTTCAAAGTTGCATTTAGTAATTTTTTTTATCTTATTAAGAAAGGTATTAAAGTGCTCTTGGCTGACTTTTTTGTGTTTAGCAGTGTTTTTGACATATGTCTTGAACTTTTTATAAGTGTATTGCAAAGGTGTAAAGAGACTAAACATATGATGAACTAGGACATATGTCCGTTCTTAGTTAATGAGGATATGAAATATATTATAAAGGTATGGAAGCAGATCAAAACTAATATTTATGTTATAGAAAAGTTATTCTCGCCCACTTCAGTCAAAAGGGTTAGGAGGTTTTAGGGCATGTCAAAATTTATAGAAGATATATTAAGGGATTCACTAAAATTTATAAACATTTGTGTTGTTTGTTAGAGAAGACTGTACGTTTCGATATTCATAGTGAGTTTCTAACAACTTTTATTGACGCTCTTTATAGTAACACCTAATTTGCAATATCTATTTGAGCTTATATGTGGTACTAGTGATAATGCCTTAAGAGTTGTGCTAGGACAGAGGACATATAAAGTTCTTCATGCGATATACTATGTTAATAGATTTCTTTATGATGATTAAATCAATTAATAGTATTTAGATCCTATTTGATTAATAATAAAGTGAAAGTATATGTCGATCACTCAGCTATTAAATATCTTGTGACTAGGAATGATGCTAAATCATATTTGATAAGATGGATATTTTCTTACAAGAGTTTTATATTGAGATTATTGATAGGAGAGGTACCAAAAATTAAGTGAATTATCCTTTATCTAGACTTGAGAAAAAAACAATTCTAAAAATTTGCATGCTCATATAAAGGAGAACTTTCCTGATGAACAAGTACTTGCAATTATTGAAAAAAAAAAATTTCTTTAGTATGCCAATATTATCAATTTATTTTGAGTGGCATTATTTTTTATGATTTGTCATATCATTAAAACATCCACGAAAATGGCCTTATGGAAGGACCATAAAATTAACAAAGGCCTATAAATTCTTCATAAAGACCTATAATATTTTATGAATGCCTATCATAATTATATTTCAGGACTCCATATCTCTATAATCTTTTCTGGATTGACGTAAGGCTTTATAACAACTCACAATATCTCGAAGTCCTAAGAAAATTTTGTAGATGTTTGCTATCTAGTGAGTTCAACATATATTTCTAAATATGTGACTTTTATACGTGAAAAAATACACACTCATCTATATCTCTAATCTTCAGGTCTTCTTATGCATGGTCCTGATGACTATTTCTTTACCTACAAATAATTTGTTCAAGATAAAACAAACCACCAATATTTTTGGTCATGACGTTAACTTTTATTATCAAAATCAAACTATATGATGCTAATAGCAAACCTATCTTCTCCTTTATACAAAACTAGTCCTGTCCATCACGCTACTAACAAATTCTTCTTCTCCTTCATAAATAATTAGTCATGTCAATAATTTTACTAACAAACACTATTAAGGATTCATCTTCTCATAGGTCTCATGGATCATTTTCTTTAGCAAGAGACAAACATCAACTCATTTTGCCATTTAAACATCACAAATCATGTTAATGTTTCCCTTAGCGAAGTACCATCACAAGCTCCGCTTCTCCATAACATATTATAGATTATATAGATGCTCCTAGCAAGAGACGAATGATTAAATCATTCCAAGAATAAAATTCTTGTCAGGATTCCCTCCTAATTTCCACTTTAATTCAAACATTAGCTTAAATCATGTCCAAATCTAGATTTAAATTAGATTTAAGCTTTAAAAGATTTTGACTTAACTGAGAATGATGTCTTAACTGAGAAAAATTTCATAAAATATGAAGTTTCAAACAAATTTCTCCAAATAAATATGTAATAGAAATATCTAAGCAATATTATGTAGTATAAGGCAAATAAAGTTATTTGTTTTCACTTGAATTTTATGTTTTTATATTTAAATTTTAAATAAATATGTTATGTAAATTATAATATTTTTTAAATCATCAGACAATTTATATTGATTTGAGGTTTAGAAGATGGTAGTAATGTCTTGGACAGGACAGTCAACACTAACGTGCACTAGGTAAGCCAGAGTTGAAAGTGTTCGCACTAATTGGCATTTGCACAAAATTTAATCGTAGAGGATATGTAAATCAAAGATAATGAATATAGTTAAATATTATATTTGTTAGTTTCAAAATTTTATTTTATCTTTAAAATTTTAAAAAAATTATTATTAGTAAAAATATTATACAATTTAAAATAAAAATAAAAAAAATGCACACAAATAAGCGCTCATACAATTCAACATGCTTTTCCTCACCATTATGAGAATCCCAACCATTTACCCAAAGTCAAAAGAAAAAGCAATCTCAGAGCTCCCAATCCAAAATATTAAAAAAAACTGCTTCAAAATCCCACCTTCCATGGAATACCGCGCGCGCACCTCCTCACTAGTCATACACACCATAGCGAGCCAGAAAGCAAATCAGAGAAATCCACATAGCAAAGAGCCGTCTCCGATCTCTGTCTGTTTATTCCTTTCTCTCTCTCCTTCCCCGACCGCCTATGTCCAAATCCCCCCACCGTTATCCTTTTGGCTTCCTTCTTTGGCCCCTCGATGCTCTTTTCCTCTTCCTCGACATCCTCACTACCTCATCCCTACTTCTACTCTTCTTCTTCATCCTTAACCATTCCTATTTCATCTTCGCCCTCACTTTCTCCTCCATTCTTCCCTCGCGTAGCATGCGTAGAACCATTTCTCCTTGTTTTTTCTGATGGCATCCACCTCCTGCCTCCTCCTCCCTCATGCCCATGATCCCTCCAACGCCTCCTCTTCCTCTATTAATTCACAAGAAGAAAACCCTCTTATCTTCCTCCAAGATCCCTCATTTACCCCTTTCGAACCGGTAAAAATGACCAGAAAACGCCCTGCCTCTGAGCTCGACCTCCAACCCGATCCCCCTCGCCGCCCTCCTCCACCCTTCCCTTCCTCCGACCAACTTCTCTCCGATATTCCCCAATCACTACCCACGCCTTCTATCCCCCCTCTTCCTTCTCCCACCCCACCACACTCTGCCCTCTGCAGCTTCTCCGGGCTCCCTCTCTTCACATCTGATACCAACCGCATCGTCACTACCCCTCAAAACTCCACTTATGATACCGAGGACACCTCTGCTGCCTGGATCGACGGCATCATCCGCGACCTTATTACCAGTGCCGCCGCTAACGTTTCGATCCCACAAATAATCCACAACGTGCGCGAGGTCATCTTTCCTTGCAACCCCAGCCTCGCCGCCGTTTTGGAGTTCCGCTTACGTTCTCTCTCCTCCGACGCCCAAACGCCAGCAGAGCCAGCAAATAAGCAAAGCGATCCCTCCCAATGCAATTTGGTTCCAAGATGGGAAGAGCAACAGAATCCTCATAACGCTACAATCTACCCACCAAATCCTGCCGCCTCTGCTTCAACAGAAGAAGCAGCGGCAGCTCCTTCGCAGCCGCCGCCGCCGCCGCCCCCTCCCCCAACGTCGGTAACCTCAGCATCAAGGAAAGAGGAGCTCCGGCAGCAGAAGCGTGATGAAGATGGACTCCATTTGCTAACTCTTCTTCTCCAATGCGCCGAGGCTGTCGCGGCTGACAACCTCGAGGAAGCTAACCGTCTTCTGCTTGAAATATCGGAGCTTTCAACTCCTTTTGGCACATCAGCGCAGCGCGTAGCTGCTTACTTCTCCGAAGCAATGTCTGCTCGTCTTATAAGCTCTTGTCTTGGCATTTATGCGCCATTGCCGCCCATTGCTGTTCACCGCCAGCGTTTGGCTTCGGCCTTTCAGGTTTTTAATGGGATAAGCCCGTTCGTTAAGTTTTCTCATTTTACTGCGAACCAAGCGATACAGGAAGCATTTGAGCGGGAGGAATGTGTACATATTATTGATCTCGATATTATGCAAGGGCTTCAGTGGCCTGGGTTGTTTCATATACTTGCTTCTCGACCCGGAGGACCACCGCGTGTTCGTCTTACTGGTCTCGGTTCTTCAGTTGAAGCTCTTCAGGCAACAGGGAAGCGGCTTTCCGATTTTGCTGATACTCTTGGTCTTCCTTTTGAGTTCTGCGCTGTCGCCGATAAGGTCGGTAACCTCGATCCTGAACGGCTTGCTGTATCACGCCGGGAGGCTGTTGCTGTTCATTGGCTTCACCATTCGCTTTACGATGTCACCGGATCCGACACCAACACCCTCTGGCTACTTCAGAGGTAATCTCTCTCTATCTCCGGGAAAGGTGGTTCCTTTTTCTTCTCTGCATGCCATGGAGGGGCCAAATGCTTGGTTCTACCGATGTCTGAAGTCTGACCCATCCTTTCCAGAGTCTTCTTCTTGAGATCTGGAAAGATGATTTTTTTTCTTTCATGGGTCGCTTCTTTGGATTAGAAGAGGCTAAAAAGTAGTAATTATTCTTACAGTACTTTGATCTTCGTCGATTGATCGCTTTTCTTCCCGTAATCATTACAAGTTTCCTACTTTTGCTTTTTCAAATCTTTGACCTCTTTATGTTCCTATTATTTTAAGCTCCGATTTACTACTATTAATCAAAAAGCTCGCTTTTTTAATCAAACAGGTTGTCGCCGAAGGTGGTAACGATGGTAGAACAGGACTTGAGCCAAGCGGGTTCATTTCTTGCGCGATTCGTCGAAGCTATCCACTACTACTCTGCTCTTTTCGATTCACTCAGTGCGAGTTACGGCGAGGAGAGTCAGGAGAGGCACATCGTTGAACAGCAGTTGCTTTCAAGGGAGATCCGCAATGTTCTCGCCGTTGGCGGTCCAGCACGTTCCGGTGAGGCCAAGTTCGGGAATTGGAGGGAAAAACTAAGCCAATCAGGCTTCCGTGGTGTCTCTCTCGCTGGAAACGCGCATGCTCAAGCAACGCTCCTTCTCGGTATGTTTCCTTCGGATGGGTACACTTTAATGGAGGAGAATGGCACGCTTAAGCTTGGGTGGAAAGATCTTTGTCTCTTGACAGCATCAGCGTGGAAGCCAATTCAAAGTCCGGTGACAAACTGCGGCGTATATGGCGGCGTTGCAAGGTAGGAGGAAAAAAGGAGAGGTTTTGTTTCATTGAAATGACTTTCATCGGTGTACATGTTGTAAGACTGAAAATGTATTGGGCCTGAAATGCAGGGGTTTTCTAATTTGATCTTTAGTTTGATTGCAGCTTTATTGCTGCGGGTTTCTTTTGTTTATTTTTTTCTGGTAACCAGCTTTAGTTTATTGCTTTTTTGTTCTGGTGTTGAATATTATAATTTTCCGTTACTGTAGGTTAATGTTATTATCTATTTGGCTTATTAACCTTGTGTTCTTGACCTAAAGTAAAGCTCGAGTTAATCTTTCCTTTTAGCTTCATAACTCGCCACTGTTAAATTGGATCTTTAGTTCCTATTAAATTTGATCAGAAATTGCTCTCATGTGAAGTATTTACCAGGACTGAGAAGGGTTTTACATATCACATAATTCTAATGTATTTTCATATGCTGAATCTAAACTTACCTATGAATCATATGCTCGAGGAAAACTGTAAGGTTAGAAGAAATAGAGAGACAAAAAAGAAGAATGAAAAGTAATGAATAGTAATTTTTTGTGTTTTATTGATATAAATAAATCTCCTATTTATTGCATAAGGGTATAATATAGCTATTATATTTTTTTGCTCATTTGAAAGAAGTTCATCCTAGGATATTTTTAGTATTTTACATACATGACTTATTTATGTACAATTACATTCAGGTTCAGTTGGCTAAGCTTAGCTGATTTCGAGTTAACTAGATCAACATTATCGAATGAGCTTATTCAACATGAGTCGATCAGTTGATCTAGTCTAATTACCAATCTCTTAGCCCAAGTGAAGAGCCTCTAGGGCATCCGATGAATGATGGGAGATACTGTGAAATTAGATCTTGCCTTGGATCGGTTCTAACAGAGAGTAGTATATCATAGGGAGTCGTTTTTCATGTAGTGGTTGACTTGGATGATCTTTTGTCTTATTTTTGGCTCAAGGGCCTGTGCTTGGATTATTCATTCGCCTTCTTATTTGCTTCGTGGCCCGTTCGGCTTTGTTGGCTCAACTCTTATAGCTTCGCTCGGTCGATTAAGTAGACCTGACAATCTTCTAGGAGTGGGTAAGCCTTCATTCTACTCTCCTTTCAGGATCATTTGATTTCCTTAATGTTGAGACATTTTTATTTACATATTCTACTTCTCTAATTCTTTTTTTTTCAGAAATCATTGTGAAAAGAATAAAAATAATTTAATGTAAATGTATGTCACTGTTGACCTCACTTTTGGTTGAGGTCTAGAAAACTTCTTTAATAGCCTAGGTCTAGTCATAGGACTTTCCTATTGACTAGTCTTAGAAAATTAGAAAAGGTACCCCCACCATTAGAAATTCAAAACTCTTCTTTTCACTCGACTTGAAATTCCACATATTGATCTTAACCTCTAGCATTTAGTAGGTAAGATCATTATAAGAGAATTCAAGAAGAATCCCTATAGGATTACTTGGCGTTAGGATTGACCCTGGGTGTTGACTTGAAACTAGGGTACACCATATCTTCACAATACATTAATCCATGGTTCATTTAGAATGGATATCTA